TGAAAATTCTGAAGGGAATAGTTGAGAAACTGTACACATAGGTAGGGATAGGCTGGTAAACTCAACGTAAATGGTGCAGTGAATCCCAGTGGGTTTTTTTTTTTAAAAGTGTGCAGCGCATATATTGTCCCATAATGCTTAAAGCACTCTCTCGGCAGTTTACAAGTGTAAAGTGAAGTGCAGTGAACCCAATGTGGGATTTTGTCTTTTTTTGAAAAGAACTCTCCAAGGTGCTGAACCTATTTTGGAAGCAGAGCTCAGTGTCCTATAAAGTTCAGAGAAAAGCCTGAAGGGGACCCCTTGTTCCTGTGATGTCAAAATTACCAGCATCCCCACCCCAAGGCTGAAGGGAACCAATTTCCTGGCTGACAGCTTCCTATCAGCCCATCTCCCACCCCTAGCAGCTATGGGCTTGATAAGTTCCATACCCCAAAACTGGGACAAAATACAGGTTAAGTCCGGTGGCAATGCATAGGAGAAACTTTTCTGTTGTGGCCCCCAGTGCATAGAACACCCTGGAGATCAGATGTTTTGCCTCTTTGCAGGTAATGCTCCACAGTGGATCAAAAACTAGATTTCTTTCAGCAAACTTTCTATCATTCCTGCTGCTTAGATTTTTTTTTAAGGTCATTTCTAGAGTATTAATTTAAGTGGCTTATGTATCTGGTTGTTGGAAGTTCAGTTCCCTACTGTGCTAGTATAGCCAGCCTCCGTGGCTTTGGGCAAGCTGCACAGTCTCAGAAGCGCTCCCCGAAGAAGGGAATGGTAAACTACTTGTGTATTCTCTTTCTGGAAAACCCTGGAAAGGGTAATCGTAAGTCAGTATTGACTTGACGATGCAGGTTTATTATTATTAACTTAAGTTGAGCTCTCAAGATGTTCCCTGTGTTATGTTCACCTTTGTCTTACTTCTTGAAAAGACATTGGTACAGATGTAGTTACTTACCAGTTATTTTTTAATTGATGATTGGGTAGCCACATTGGGGTATAGAGATAACCTCAGACCTTTTATGACCAAAAGCAGTTGTATTTTCCCAAACAGTGCATACAGTTTTATGATCTTCCCTAGTTAAGAAAGAGGAAGCATAAAAGGGGAAACTTGACCAACCATCTCTGTAGAAATGAATTTACGTCTGCTTTTAATTATAGCAAGAATGGGAATCATGACACACTTCAGATGTTTTACGCTGAAATCTCCATATTTTTCCAATCACTTTCCATGTCTTGTAATTTTTTTTTTAAAAAACGGTGGACATCTGTCACCAGGGTGCCTGTCTGCAAATGATACAGATTTGCATTTTTGACAGCTTGGAAAAGTCATTTTTAATGAAATTTCCTAAATATCCAAGCAAGCATTCGCACTGGTCTTGCTGGATGGGGGAAAATACTGGAAGCTACAGTTGTTTAAGAGAGCATCACTCTTCTCTGACACATTTACCCACTTCTTGAGCCAAAGCGATCCAATAGGCTGGGTTGGACAGAAGTCATTTCCCCAAAATTGAGAACTGTACACGCAGAACAGTTGGCTCCATCCTCTTCCCTCAGCATCCTCCATCCTCTTACTTTGGAGCTTTCCTCCAGTTTAAATTCCAACAGTTGCAAAGGATGATGACGCAGATACAGCAAGACATCCTTAAAATGGGTTTTGAGGAAACAGAGCAATCAGAAAAGCAGTGAAATGGGCAAAACACCAAAAGGCTCAATAAAAGTCTGGTGAGTAGATCTGGGTAGATTACAGGGCTGGCCCTACCACTAGACAGAGTGAGACAACTATCTGGGTAGTCAATGAAGGAAGGCGGGGATTGGTGAAAAGTTTTAGGAGGTTTGACTAGCCCAAGCATTAAACAGAGTAAAGCAACCATCTTAGATATCTCAGACGATTGCCTCCTGATCTTCTAGGACTTATCCAAGAATTTGCTTCATTGGCTGATGGAATGGAATTCGCAACATGGCCTGCAGTGGCTAGATTACCTTGTTTGTCATGTTCTCCAAGGAATGGGGTGGAATCCTTGGGCCAATAAACAGAGGCCCAGCAGAGAAAATCAGGCTCAAAAGACCCAAAGCTAGAGTCAAAACACAGTCCAAGTCCAATCCAACTAAAACTGAGCAGGGAAAGTCCAACAATACAGTCAAGTTGGTCCAACAAAGCATTCTCAGCAGTGGAGTCCACAACAAGAGTCAGGATACACAAGATTCAGAAGTACAAACCAAACCAGTGACCAGCAGTTTCCAGCTAAGGGTTTATCTAGGGCAGTGGTCCCCAACCTTGGGCCTCCAGATGTTCTTGGACTACAACTCCCAGAAGCCTTCACCACCACCTCTGCTGGCCAGGATTTCTGGGAGTTGAAGTCCAGGAACATCTGGAGGCCCAAGGTTGGGGACCACAGATCTAGGGGGTTCTTAGAGATCCCACCTAGTGCTCAGCTGCAAACAAGTGGCCACCTGGTAGAGGTACACAACTACAAGTACCCTGGTTTCCCTGGGAGTAAGAGCTTTCCTCCCCCCTCCCCAGGGACAAGGTACTCTTTTTCCTGAGGAGCCATTTCCCAGAGATATACACTTCATCTGAGTTTGTGTATTCATCCTCCATTGCTAGATAGAGAACCTCTTCATCCTCTGGTTTAGCCATAGAGCCATTAATAACTACTTGTTGAGGTTTTGGGACCTTTGACATTCCAGGTTCTACAGGACTGGTCAATTCTACCCCCATGTCACATTCTGGGGTTCTGGTTCATCCTTGCTGGAGGATTCTTTTGGAGAAAAAGAATGGCAACTGCTCCCTCAATATATGAATTAAGGATTTTAATGTTTATGGTGGTTTCCAGTTCCCACGATCCAATCTGGAGGCCAATTCAGGGGTTTGGGATGCATCACAATTTCCTCTGGAGCAGTTCATGACCCATCGAATTCAATTCATGCTCCTGATATCTGTCAGCTTGTAAGCTGTCCCTTGAATCGAATCAGAAAACCAAAACGGTTGTAACTTTTCTTTTGCACTGATAAAGATGAACATTGCCAATGTGATAACTCTTAAAGATGTAAGTAAGCTTGCAAACTTTCAGACATCTAGCGTCAGGCATTTGCACATCTTGCCATTATGCTTTGATTTGAACCCCTTGTAAATTAATCAAGCCAATTTAGTTTCATTTAGAATTCATGATTTGCCTGAATCCAATGCACAGCCCTACTGATATGACTAGAAGCCCAACCAGGTTCTGATTACAGAAGAGTAGAGAAGACACCATCGCATCTTCTGCTTCAGAGAGATAAATGCTGTGGGCCAATCCTGGTTGAAGGATGGTCCTACGTGTACCTGGTGACTTAGCCTCAAGATAGGTTGTGGGTGCTAGAAGATGCCACATCGTTATCATCACTGTGCAATAAAGGCTGAACTTCCAGTATGGCTGGGTTTGTATCACGAAAGATCAGAAAGCCATGTTGCTCTCTATCTCAGGCAGCAAACTATCCTGGCACTGTCTTACTGTACTGCTACTGGCAATTTCCCTCCCGTATTTCCCTGGTCAAACAAGTTCTGATGGCAAATACCACACTCAGAAGAAGAACCACTTACTTGTTTATGCCTAGCTGGATGAGAAGTATGATATCAACATTTGCAGGAAGAATCATTTCGGGAGCTCCTGAAGCTGATAGGAAAAACAAAGCTTAGAAAGTATAACTGCTCATGCTCTTGAAAAGTGACAAAGTTAATGCTGTTGTTTTGAAAATAAGATGGCCCAACCAGACCTCCTGCAGAGGGTCTTAATGGTATCAGAGAATGTTTACCTGAGTAACACCTTGTTTATCTTCTGTGGGGCCCTCCCCACTCCTCTCCAGATATTCCTGGCCCATATCCATGAAGCGACTTTTTTCCTACAGACAAGCAGCAAACCATCCTTTCTGGTTAGACAAACCCTTTCCTACATTGTTGTTTTCATTCATTCATTCATTCATTCATTCATGGATGTACTTATTTATTTGGCTTTTATACTGCCCATCTAGATGAATCTACTTGGGGCTTCTACCTGCATGCCCTTCTACTTTCCTCCGTGTGGTCTCCTCTTATCTTAGCTGTCATGATTTTCACTACCACTGCAACCACAACTGGCAGAATCAACCACAATAGAATGGGGATACAAAGGGTGCACTTCACCCCATTCTGATTCTTTGTAGAGGGAAAACTGGAAGTCCAATTGAATCAAGTCAATTTAAGATCATGTATTACTTGACCCTCATTTTTGGAAGAAGGTGGGGGGAACTTGTAGACATGGTTTATAGGACTTTCAGCCTCTAGGGATTACATGAAATTAAGATGTCATGGCTCTTCCAGGCAGAAAAGCAGCATGAATGGCTTAATATGGATTTATCTTGATATATTAGCTACTAAAGATGCAAGAGAAAGGGAGATGGCTACCTTAAATATGTGTGTTATTTCTGATGCAATTTCCATTGGTTATCTGTCCTTCAGCAGAAGGTGTGGGATATCCTGTGTCATTGTGTTATTTCTGATGCAATTTCCATTGGTGATCTGTCCTTCAGCAGAAGGCGTGGGATATCCTGTGTCATTGGACTCACACTACAGGAAGCCGGATTTAGGCTGAATATCATAAAAACTTCTTAACTGTTAGAGTAGTACAACAATGGAACCAATGGCCATGGGAGGTGATGAGCACTCCAATAGTGGAGGCATTCAAGAGAAAATTGGACAACTATCTGTCAGATCTGCTTTGAGTTGGCTCCCTGCATTGAGCAGGGAGTTGTACTCAATGGCCTTAGAGGTCTCTTCCAACTCAACTGTTTCTAGGATTCTACGGGAAAACAGAATTCTTAACTTTGTCTCTGCAGTACGAATTCCAAGAGGTTAACCTTTATCCTAAGTCACTCACATTCTACAAACAGCGTCAACATCCCCTGAGCAGAACCGAGAAAGTTGTCCGTCTGGCACAGGTATTGGCCTTCATCTTTGGCGGTCAAATTGACAAGTTCTAATCTTTCATCTGTGAGCTTCTCCAACGTTGGATTGATCCAAACTGTTGTAGCTGGAGGGTTGCCATCTGCCTTGCAGAGTAGCTGTAATGAGTCACCTTCTTGAACCACCAGGCGGGAGCCATTGACCAGAGAGACTGTCACCCTGGGGAAATCTGTAATCATAATATAGTTCAGTTATGTCCATGAAAAAACAATGGACTCTTCATAGAACCTCAGTCTTCTGTACCCTAAGGCTGTCTCTTACCTTGAATGAGCGGTGGGTCCCTTTCAAAAATCTGGGAAATGCTGAACGTTGCAAATCGTGGAGGATCTGAAACAGGCATATCAACATTTGATTAGACACCATATTTCCTAGCCCAGTCACATTCAAATGTTTTCAACTACAGCTCCTATTTTCTCAATCCAACATGGCTAGCATTGAGCAATGGTGGGCGATGAGGCCAAAATATCTGTGGACTCAAGACTGAGAAAGAGAAAAATAAGCTTTGTGAGTCACCAATGGTTATGAAAGGAAGTTTTCTTTCCCTTTTCTGCACACATTGTGTCTGTACTCCAAGATCATATAATATGACATCTGAACATTTAAAATATTGCAGCATTATAAGGATGGTTCAGGATGTCTGCATTCTAAACCCATCCTCTCCAAGCAAATACACTTCCAGAAAAAACAAATGTCTACTTACCATTTTCTGTACTTGGAATAAATTCTGTAAATCGAGTGTTGCAAATATTTAATTAATTCGTAACTTATTCTACTTCTATCATTATTTCCGTATGGATGTAAGTCCTCATACACTAAATAGGATTTCCCCTCCTTGCCATAGGATGGTAAATTTTTATGAGCATTTGCTCATGACTATTTTTATAGATTCATGTAAATGCACAAAATCAAGCAAATATGGTAACTGTGTGTGCTTGGCCAGAACAGATAGTAGAGACGTTTTATACAAGATGTTTTATATATTAGTACAGAGACCTGTACAAATCATAGCATGGAGGGGGAAAGCACATATCAAGGACTCCTGATGATGGGATGTTATCTTGCAAAGACCTGATAATCTCTATGTTGAGGCAGACTGTCTCCACTAAAAATGAGAGATTGGCTAAATAACTTCACATCAATTAGATTTTTTTAAAAAAATTGATTGCAAGGAGCAACTGAAAAGGAAGAATATTGTGGATGAAAACTAGCAAATAAAAGGGTCTGTCTTTGGAAAGCTAAACACTATGCATAAACAATATATGTGTAATAGCCCTGAAGACCTGAAACACATACAAGATTGGTTGTGGCGCTGTAGTGAACCACCTAGAATAAGGAAGAAGAATTAATTAGCAAGAAAACTGCAGCTGTGTTTATTTCTAGAAGTCCAAGAAACTGAGAAAAATAGGACCCCCATATACATGGATGCTGAAAAATGGAGATTATAGTGATTTAAATAGCGAACACTGTACAAAGCATGGTCTCCAGCTCTCTCTCTATTGACTAGTTCTGGTAACTTCGTCTTTTTACATTTTTAATATCTTCAGACTGCGGATAAGTGAATCAGTGGATACTGATCCCACGGAGAAGGGGGTCCCACTGTACTCAACTGTGGAAGAATGCAATTATCAAATGCTGCAAAAATTAAGCAAGCGTGCTTTCTAATGCTATTGCAGGTCAGATACATAGCATATCATGAACATCTTTAGACAAAGGCCCCCAAATAGACTACGTAGCTCCTTACATTGCACTATTAGGTGGATAGTCTCTGTGGCTGAGCCAAAGTCATTTTCTGCCTGGCATTTATACTTTCCAGCATCCTTCGATGTGGCTGAAGAAATCTCATAGGCGTTCTCATTGCCCTGCTTGGGAATGCCGATGCTTTCTTCGTCCTTCTTCCAAGTCAAGGTGAGGCTTGGCCTGCCCTTAGCTGTACAGAGCAGCCTAACTGTGTCACCTTCCAGGGCCACCTAAGCACCCAAATCTCTTTTCCGTGAGGATGATCCTGCAAGAGAAATAGGACTGCATCATAATACTCATATTATAACTGCCTGCTTTTAAGTCAGACCCTCCAGATACTAAGCTGAACATGTTCTCGATTCTATACTACACAGAACTACTAGCTTTAAATTACTGCGTATGATCAAAACTAAATTAGAGAGTACTTGTGTGGGTGGGTGTTAGGGACAACCACAGGGAAGAGTGAACAGCGAAGAGACGTTAGCAGGGTCACACGGCTTTCTATAGATTTTTCTACTTTTTCCTCCTTCCCTTCTTTGACATTTCCCAACCAGTAAAATGTCCACAGTGTTTTCTTGTGAAATCCTGAAATCTAAACCGTGTAATAGATCAGATCCTGCACAGAAATTGGATGTTTTTCTCCCCATCATTCCTTATCCATCCTACTTGACAATTTCACTCTAGCTAAGGCAACCATTTGAAATTGACTAGGAGCCTGAAATTGACAAGAGCAGCCAAGAGGTACAGAAATCTGGTGGAGGGTATTCCCTCAGGTTCCTGTCAACCTAGCAGTTCGAAAGCACGTAAAATGCAAGTAGATAAATAGGTACCACCTCGGTGGGAAGGTCACAGTGTTCCGTGTCTAGTCGTGTTGGCCACGTGACCACGGAAACTGTCTACAGGAAAACGCTGGCTCTACGGCTTGGAAACGGGGACGAGCACCACCCCGTAGAGTCAGACACGACTGGACTAAATGTCAAGGGGAACTTTTATTGTTTCAGGTACAAATCACCCAGTCCTGTCAGGCTTAATCTTGTGCAGAAAGTCCACAAGAAAAGATGGGAGTAAAACTTCAGCATTCAGTATTTATGCCTGCTGCTGCTCTCAAAGACCTCTCACTTTTCACAGGGATCCAGGAGGGATTCTCTGCTAGGACAAAATATTAAAAAAATCACCTAGAGCTAAACAATTCTTGAGTATTCATTGCACCCATCTACTTTCTACTTGATAATACATGCTCCAAACATTGAGCTTCTACAGCCGTTCTTGATTTTTTCCCAAGTGCCCAGAGATGTACTGAACTGGAGAAGCAGTAAGAGAGTAGAGGTTCAGAGAAGGTTCAGAGTTTCAAGTCTCACCAGGCGTTTGAGAATTTATTATGACCACTTTGATTTTCACATCCTGAGGTCCTTCTGAAACATACAAAGGGAGAAGGGTGATCATATGGAGTGGATTATTGGCAAAATAAATAAATAACAATGGTATGCTGTCGAGTCAATTCTCATTTATGGCAACCCATTTCAGGTTTTTCTAGGTAGAGAATACATGGAAGTGGTTTGCCAATTCTTTCTTTTGGGAGCATCCTGGGACTGTTCAGCTTGCCCAAGGCTACACAGGATGGCTCTTCTCCCTGGAGACACAGTGGGCAATTGAACTCCCAACCTCTACTTATTCCATTGAGCTATCTAGCCGAGGCCAAGAGGCAGTCCTGAAACCAGCCAAAATCAGGGAGCTGGACAGGGGACAGATTGGTTTTGTCCTCAGTGTGGAAGGGATTGTCACTCTCGAATTGGCCTTCTCAGCCATACTAGTGGCTATTCCAAGACCTCTGTTCAGAGCATGTTACCATAGTCTCTCGAGACTGAAGGATGCCTACTTCATCCAGTCAGCAACGTTGCTTATTGGCAAAACCAAGAGCAACATTGGAAAAAAAAGATGCTGACAGTTTCAGAGGAAGAGGCAGCCGAAGGATGGGATGAAGGGATAAGGGTTGCGTAGAACTCAAGAAGGAAGAAGATAGATGATCCTTGCTTGCTTTTGCCATAGCCTTTAGGATTTTGAATGCTGTTCCAAGGAAAACATGCCTGGTGCCGATCCTACTCTCCTTTCAGTGCCAGGATGAAATCCTTCTCCCAAACATGTCCTACTGTCTGCTTCTTTAGTATTTTAGCATGTCAACATTTTAAAACATAAAATACCCAGAGTGTGGTGTCATAGATGCTGAGTTGCATCTTTTTGGGGCATGGCCAGGAATTATAGGAGATGTTCTCCAAAATATTTGGTGGGTACTGTTGCAGCGTTTTCAATTTACGCCTAGGTCCCTCCAGCTGCACAGCAGAAGTGCGAGGCTTCACAGAGCAGAATAGAGTCAAGTTGCCATGAATAGTCCATCTCGTTTTCTCATTAACTGGCACTTCTTGTCTCAGTAACTCACTCTGAGACGTAAATAATAGAAAGAACAATAACTATTTTCTTTACTGACAGGTGCGAACTGATTAAAAAAGCAAACTGACAAACGGACCTCAACAGACTTAAAGAGAGAAAGAGCTCTATACAGAGAGGTGGAGATCTCTTTGAATTCAGAATGACTTGTTAGTATTGGATAGATTGACAGTCACCCCAGCCCAAAAAGGTCCCTCCCTCCCACACCTTCTCTAGGCAACATGCGAGGTTGTAAAAACTCCCAACATGTACCACTGCTGCACTGGCTACAATCAACTATCCGTTGAGCCCCAAAATGGGCTAAATAATGGGTGGGGTGAAGAACTAACTGGTTCCAGATCGCAGCCTCCTCTAGTGTTCAATGGCAGAACTACAGAGAGTTCAGCCAGGGTGAGATAGACCTAAGTAACATTCAGCACCCCTAAGCTGGGAGAGAAGATTCAGCATAACATCAGCTCCCCTAGTGTCAGCTCAGCTGGCCTTCAGCTGTCTCAACTACTTAGGATCACAACCCTTAACCCATTAAATGGAAATTACTTGCCTGTCACAGAAACATGAGGCGATGTGTATCCATACGCGGTAGAATAACTGAACTTTAAGCCCTTGTCCCCTATAATTCTGAAGTAATAGGACCCCTCGTCTTCTAACTGGGCTTCTGTAATGATGAAGGAGCAGTTCCCTTTGTTTGGATTTCCGGTCAAGTAGAAACGGTTCTCAGCAGATCTCTCAACCCGCTGTGTGTCATCACTGGTTGCTACGAGAAGACCTTGAACACAGCCTCCAGAAATGGCTCCCTGAAAACAGTATTCAGCTCCTTCCTGGTTCTTCAGCCAGTAGGCAGAGAAGTCCTCATTCACGGAAGAGGAGTCACTTCTGTAGGTGAACTGACAGGGGATGTGCAAACAGCGTCCTTGCCGCACAGAGAGAGAGGCAGGTGCTGTCAATGTGAAACCTTCTATCCCATTACTTTCTATACCTGCCAAAGGAAAAGAAATATATATTTTTTCAATAAGCGGACAGGTGACCATATAAAGTTAAAGTAGCAGAGGTGAGGGAGTCCCATGAAATGATCAGCAATGCTTCTTAGAGTTATAGAGCTGGAAGGGACCCTATAGATCATCAAGTCCAGCCCCTATTGAGGAGGCACAGTGGGGAATCGAACTCCCAACCCCGGGCTCCACAGCTAGGGACCTAAACCACTGAGCTATCTGGGAGTTCTTGGAGGTTGAAGCTCTTGTACTTTTAATTATTGTGGGGGGAAATGTTTCAGCAGATACAGCTTGTCAATGGGTGTCATTGAAGGAGACTCTCCAGGAAGACAAGGACTCTGAGCCTATTTGAGCATCCTGCAAGCAACAGCAGTACCCTTTTAGTTGATCCTTCCCCTCTGGAAGCACCACTGGGTCACTTCTAGTAGACGAAGAAGCTTGAGAATGCATTAGGATATGACCCTGCTCTTCTTTGTCATTTCATTTATGGCTAAGCGTCTACTTTATTTGCCTTGGAGGATATGAGAAACAGCTGTTCAGGGCAGGATCTACCACCAGGAGTGGGAGTTTCCCCACTGCTCAAGAGGAACTGAGCTACAGCAAAGGCTATGTCTTCCAGAAAACCTTGGGTAATAACAAATTTGGCTCCTACTGACTGTTTTGCCCAGTCCATTGCCTGAATTTAATTTCTGCCTTGGTGGGTATGAGGAAAGATAGGTAACTTAGAGCATTGGTTCCATGCCAATCCAGAACTATGTGTGCCGATTGAAAGGCATTGAATGGACAGTATGCCATAGATTCTCCATCGCAGCACTAGAGGGATCCCGAGATCATGCTATATATAGCATTCACTGTTAAAATAGTGTTTGCCATAATCCACATTTGTCAGCATGGGGGGGGGGCTTGGAACCAAGATGTACAGAGACCCTACTAAACATCTGTAGAGATATAACCGGGTGTAATCCCCACCTCTGGCTACTTCTCCATGCTTCCAATCTCCCCTTTGGAGCTTAAGCAACTCTAGCTGCGATGGCTTTTAATACCGGCTTCATCCCTTCCTCGTAAAGACTGCTGATGGATCCCAAGGTCTGTTCCTTCCCTTTCTTTTCTTTATATTTTGGTGGTCCTGAAAAGGTATCACCAAACTGCTGGTTTTGCTGAACGCTTTGAGATCACACATTCCATATATTAAGTACCGTATTTTTCGCACCATAAGACACACTTTCCCCCCACAAAACAGGGGCGTGGAAAGTCTGTGCGTCTTATGGAGCGAAAAATACGGCACTTCTTAGGAGACATAAGCTGGGAAGTTTTTGTTTCACTAGAATTGTGAAACTTAGCTGACACAGAGCTAGGTTATCTATGACAGTGGTCCCCAACCTTGGACCTCCAGATATTCTTGGACTACAACTCCCAGAAGCCTTCACCACCACCTCTGCTGACCAGGATTTCTGGGAGCTGAAATCTAAGAACATCTGGAGGCCCAAGGTTGGGGACCGCTAATCTATGACATGTATTTCTAGGATTTATCCTCTGCTGTTCATCACACCTACCTTTGCAGAAACAGGCAGTTAGCATAGTCAATTTCATGAGATTTGCGCAGATTGCAGATCTCCTGTAACTTGCCATTATTTAGAGTATGGGCAATTTTTTCTTGGATTTGAGAACTAGAAGAGAGACAAAAGATATGGCCATAAGAAGTTATGGGGTGGGGTGGAAATACAGACAATAAGGATGTTTGCATATACAAAATCTGATTTTAAAAACCATGCCAAAGTTCTAGAGTTTCAGGAAAGTGCTAGGCGAAGTCCCCCCCCCCTTCGTTGTAAATTCACCTGGAAGACCAAACTTACTATTAGTCAGCATGTAGCAATCACTTCGGGCAGAAGAAAGAGCTGCTTCTAGAGGTTGGTTCAATTCTTCAAAAAACAAAACAAAACAAAAGACCCAAAACTTTTGGTTTATGAATTTGGGATACGGTGCTTCTGTGTCCCTGATTTAAAATGCCAGGAAACGGCCCAGTATTGCTGCACAATATCTTGGCTCACCTCTTCAGCAGAAAAAGGATGTGAAATTTTACACAACAAATGGCAAGTGGTTTGTGTTTAGGTGTGAAGTGGTTTACGGATGGAAAAAGGAATTGGGTTCTAGGACTTCCCTCTTCTTGGTGTTTCTTGGCAGTGAGCACAAGAGGGTATCTGAAAACCATCTTGACTGCTGAAGTTGGTGGCATCAACTTTCAGGCTCAGAACTCTTGAGACAACGTTTACTGTAAGCACTAGAAAAAACACAGAGCTCCTAACTGTTTTTCTAAACAGACAGAAATACTCTGAATATGCCTCGTGAAACTACAGGCAACACAATGTGAAGATACATAGCAAAATACTCCACTTTCCAGAGGACTTTCGCTGCATTACTTTCCTTAAAGCAAACCTGTCTGTTTCTGTGGCCCTTCCAATACACCTTCCTCACCTGCCCATGAAATTGAAATGTATTAAAAATCTTGGTGGCAAGTTTGAACCAGTTTTACAACAAAACTACTGTTTGAAATTTTTTTTTTTTTTTTTTTTGAGGACCAACATTTCAGCTCTTACAGTTTAGATTCTTTCCAAAGGAAAAAAAGTGGGTGAGGCCAACCATTCTCTTTCAAGACAAGCAAGATTGGTCTTTTCAATCTGTATAAGATATTTTAGATCTGGCGACATTTAAGGTTGCTTGGTACTGCAGGGAGGGGAACAGTTTGAAATTTTAAAAAAATCCTAAGTCAAAAACCATTTGCCCAAATTTCACCAAATTTGGAACAGAGTAAGAACAGAGTATCTGCTTCATTTGTGCCAGATTTGGTGCTAATCTGAAGCCTGTTTTGAAGTATTTTCAGTAGCAGTTTTTTAAAAGTAACACCAATAAATAAAATCCACTATAAACACGTATCTTCTTTTGCTTTTAATGACATTGGAAGTGGTGATTCAACTTCATTTAAAGTTCTGGATCCCTCTGACACCGCCTATTCAAAAAAATGATACTTACTTCAATTTTGTATTTAATAGGAAGGGTTTTAAAAAGTTATGTTTTGGGATTGTAACCTCCAGCATCTCCTGCCAGCCTGGACACTATGGTCAGTCAGAGGATTCTGTGAATTACAGACAAATAAGGTATCTGCCCTAGTTGTAGCTTTATAGAACTTAGTCAAAATTATTCTATAGATAATACATATGTTTGTCCAAAAGGACGAAGTGGTAACCCTGAACAGCTGATTAGTTTTAAAAGAAGTGAGTATTTTGTCTCCGTTTCTCCTGTGGCTGAGTTTTCCTTTTCCAGACCTCCATTGAGAATTCAGTATAAATGATTTTGAAGAAGATCTGCACCATAACTGTTATTATTGCATAAATAGGCTGTTTGACACCTGTGGGCTCTGGAAACAGTAATGAAGGTGTGAAGAGGAAACAGAGTTAGAGCAGGGGGGAGAACTGGTTCTTGAAAAAAAAAATCCATTCTCTACAGTTTTTCGATTCTTACCATGCTGAGATCCATAATAAGGTTGTCCCACAACACCAATGGGATTTCCCCATTTCCCACAAAAAAATTTTTAAAAGCCTTCTTGTTCCATCCTCTAATTATTTTTATCAGTTTTTCACCCACTATTCCTCAAATTCTGTGCTACATTATGCTCTTCCTCACAAATCCTGCATTGTGAAGATACATGGCCCAGCAATTCTAACCATCCTGCACAACTTAGTGACCTAGTAATTAAAAAAAACACAAAAAACACCACAAACTATTAGAGGACCCCTACAAGATTTACACACACACAAAAGGCCAGTGTGCTGCCATGGATCAGAGATCTTCTTTTATATCCCCACTTCAACATGGGAAACTACTGGTGTGTGTATGTATGGAACTGATAAAAACAGCTCCTTAAATATCTCGCCACTCTGGAAAGCCCTGTTCGAGCTACCATTTGGCACCGCTTCGCAGCACAAAACAAGCAACACAGAATAAATTCAATAAATAAAGCTGTTTCTAGTATGAAAAGCCCCTATGTTGAACTTCTTGCTACAGAAATGTAAAGGAGCCTCATAGGATGTCTCTCTCCCTCTCTCTCTGTCTCTCTCTGTGTGTGTATGTGTGTGTGTGTGAGAGAGAGAGAGACACCCCCGCACACACACACACACACACACACACGGCAAACCTTATTCAGGACCAACATGGTTGAATACACATGGATACAAAACCAGACTTTTAAAAATTTAGTATCCAGTACTCTAGCTTGAATACACAAAATCTGCCACTTGGAGATTTTCATCCCATATTTACCTCATATATTTTGCAAACTGTAATAGAAATGAAGTGAAACACAATTACAGTACCACCTAAATCTGCCATGATGATGATATTGGACCACCAAGGGGAACAAAGTTGCCAGGATGAAAAGATATGCAAATGTACTGATGGAAATATAATTTGAACGTCTTCCAATGATCTTCACCTTCTTTGTCCTCCGACTTTCCCCCTTCTCTTTATCAAACAAGCCCTCGTCTTTTTCTTACAAACAAGACTTGAGTTTAACACATCAGACCCCTTTCCTATAGAACACCCACTCTTTTGCCCACCAAGAGACCCCAAATATTGGAGAGGTGGGAAAGTGCAAGGATCCTGTGAAGCAGATGTTTTGCTTGGTGAATTTTCCACTGGAAGACACGAGGGACAGGGGCATAGCCTCTGTCAGCTACAACAGTGGAAACAAACTGCTAGCATCATCTTGCTTGTTCGTCCGGCCTGACTTGCTGAGATGAAGATATTTTACAAATTCCTTCCTCCTTATTTTTACTTTGCGTGCTCCTCCTCTTGCTGCCATTTCCTTAGCCCGTAGCAAGCTAGCGCAGCAGCCAAAGTAACTTTCCTACATGCAGAGGCGTGGTTATAATAATGCCTAATTACTTTATTTTTAAACTTAAAGTTTGTTCCTGAATTCGTCAACCAGATCTGCATGCAGAGCCTTGTCTAAGTTTTCCCAAATCTTACATTTCTTTAAAAAAATCAGGAGTTTGAGGGTGCAATTACCTTTACCGAAGGAGGATGTGCTTCCTTGGTATCTCTAGCTCCTGGTTGCAACTTGAGTTCTGACAAGAAACTGGTAAAGATAGAAACAGGTGGGCACGGTAGTACAGAAGCATGGTACAGAAGCAGAGAAAATAGGAAGCAGCTCCAGAACTGCATTTATGAAAGGCTTCTGTGCATTGCTGTTTTTCTTCCCACAAATTTATTTATATAATGGTGGAAAGGGAAGTAGAAAGAAGATGGTCTAGCCCATCTGTGTTGAACAGCTATTCTAGCCCATAACCATTTCTACACTGTCTTGGGGCCAATGGAAGTTGTAGTTTCAAATATCCAGGAGGACGCTGCCTAGCCTATCCATGATGCAATCTCTGGCCACAGTCCTGTCAGTTACGCCCACCTTAATTACAAATAAAACTATAAAGCCTTTCTCAAAATATATATGAAAGTTTGCAACAAGACCATGTCATGTACAGTGGTGCCTCGCTAGACAGTTACCCCACATGACAGTTTTTTCGCTAGACATTGACTTTTTGTGATCGCTATAGCAATTCGCAAAACAGTGATTCCTATGGGGGAATGTCGCTGGACAATGTTTGGTCCCTGCTTCGCAAACCAATTTTCTCTAGACAACGATTTGCTTTTCGCTAGACAATGATTTCGCTAGACAGCGATTTCAGTGGAACGGATTATCATCGTCTTGCAAGGCACCACTGTATAGCAAGACAGGAATCCAGGAGCAAAGGGGATTCTTGCCAAATGCACTGAAGGACTGGGTCGTCAGAGCTTTAAAGAGAGAGGGCACAGTAGGGTTCATAATTGGGATGTGGGGCCTTGCCAGGGATGATGCCTTTTCTTGGAAGCAGAGAGGAGGGAGTGTTGCAGCCTCTCCTGGAAACCATGCACCATCAAGATGGACAAGATAAGGCTGAGGCCTCTGTTGATGAAAGGCAAGCCAGACATCTGCAGAGGTGGTTCGTGGATAGCACCAGCCACTGCACCCACTGCACCCACTGTGGCCATTCCAGTTGCTTTGTCACTCCACATAACCTAAAAAGAAACAATTCCAGTTGCCACGACTCAACGTCCAGGTAACCTCACCTGGAGGGCTGAAAATCTTCACAGATATATTCCACTTGCTTTGGTGTAAATCCACCATAGTAGACTTCTAAAAAAATTTAAACTCTCTGAATCTTTCAGTCAACAGAGCTCTCATGGCAGGTAGCTTTTGAAGGTCAAAAAAAGACAGGGGCCAAAAGTTGGATTCTCTGAGATATGATCTTGGTTAAGGAAGTGGAATTACTGTATTTTCCATGTATAAGACGCCCCCTTTTCTAACCCAAAATTAAGACATCTAAATGGGGCTTAGCAAGTGGAGGGGAAAGCAGGGATCAAAGCCCTGCAGGAACAATTTGATCCCTGCTTTCCCCTCCACTTGTTTTTGTACTCTCCTCTGCTTACTTCCGTGTATAAGACAGCCCTCAATTTTTAGTCTAAATTTTTTTAGACAAAAGTATAGTTTTATACATGGAAAAATATGGTACCTTAAACATGGTTTTCCAGGAAATCTTCATTACCAGGTACTGCATAATCCATCCTTTAAACAGCATGTCTTTTGGAAGCATCTTCATCTCCCTTTATCTCAAGGAATTCTGGGTAGTTTTGTTTTTTAATGGATATCCAGTGGAAGCTACAAGAAATGTGAAGTGACAGGACATGGGAGAATGAGGTGGGACTAGTTCTAGACACTTCATTTACTTCCATACAACACTATGGAACTTGGTTGTCCCCAAAAATTGTATCAATGTGCCCTCCTGTGATGAAAGAGAGGAATAACTGAAATTGGGGATATTTATGCCATTGTTTTGAAGACAGCTTAGAAAGCTCCAGTAGTGTAAGCTAGTGATTCCCAATCTTGGGTTCCCAGATGTTCTTGGACTACAACTCCCAGAAGCCTTCACAACTAGCCGTGCTAGCCGGGATTTCTAGGAGTTGTAGTTCAAGAACATCTGAGGCCCCAAGACTGGGAAATACTGGGGTAAGCCCATCGTGTCAAGGCAAGTTGCTGTTGCAACCTACAAGTTTACAAACACAGATGCGATAAAACACATGCTTTCAAGATGCTGGAGAGAATGTCCTCATCCAAACACTCTTGCCAAAGTTCCCTCCAGGGGTCTAGAGGCTCCCGAACACATAGTGCATGTTTGATAAACAAGAAATTCCTGGCATGATGAAAAGGTGGAACAAGAATGTTAGATGGCATCATTACAGATCAAATACTTACAGTGAACACCCTGAGAAGAAAATCACCTCCAGCACATCTCTGCTGACATTGCATGGCCACGCAAAAACTGCAGTGAGCTGATCTTCTGCATGGTTCTGATACATCACAGCATCCTTTATTTGATCTGGGATAGAAGGACTGAGATTTCTGTGCCGGAGGTTGCCAATGATCTCGCACCCCTTCTTTGTCATGTGGCTGGGATCAAGCCCACTCTTAGCATTACACAGCAACTTGACCAAGACGTGAGGGGATGGGACCTAATGCCCCATATTGCCCATTCATCATTTCAAGAACTACTCCCCTACCCTCAGATGTGGCAGAGGTCCACTGAGATGAGATTCTAAACATGGTGTGGAGGTTCCTCTGCGTGCTAGAGGAAGGATCAGCCTTGGGAAGAAGGACAACATAGAACTGAAGGAGCCACTCAAAGGCTGCATCAAGATGGATGCGGTGTTACATTATTGGCCACCCAACAAGGTAGTGGATGGAACATGCGATAGCTTTGCTTTAGTACATCATAAAGTCGGCAGGATCATGTCAGATCTATCAGTCTAGCTTCCATTGTTCAGTTCATGTCTCCATGGAGACCTTCTTTGCATTTCCAAAGCAGGAATTCGGCATGGGGCCTCACAAAGAAAACCAGGTCAGATAAATTCCAAATCTTTCATCTGCCAGGTCTAAGCAAGCAGACATTCCCAATACAGTGGTGCCCCGCTTGACAACGATAATGCGTTCCAGCAAAATTGCTGTACAGCGAAATCGTTGTCAAGCGAAAAAACCCATTGGAATGCATTGAAAACCGGTCAATGCATTCCAATGGGGGAAATAACTGATCATCCTGCGAAGATCCTCCATAGGGCGGCCATTTTCCGATTCCTGTCTTGTGAAAATAGGTCAGCAAAACAGTTGGGAGCCATTTTGCGAACCGCCGATCAGCTGTTTGTAAATTGTCATTAAGCAAAAAAATCGGTTCCCAAAGCAGGGAACTATTCATTGTCAAGCGAAATACCCTATTGGAATCATCGTTTTGCGATCACTATAGCGACTGCAAAAAAGTCATCATAAAGCGATTTCTTCATCAGGCGGGATCATCATCAAGCAGGGCACCACTGTATGGGAAAACAAATTAAAAGAGTGAAGACAGAACATTCAGGTTGCTCATCACATGACCTGCTTTTCTTCACTTGCAAATCTTTCATTTGGTGTGCCTATGAGTTATTCTGCAACCGCTGGAATGTCATTCTGTAAGACCATAAAGATGGGTCGCCTTCATGATCTTCTGGAGAGCTTTCTCCCATGTAGTCTGAGAAGCAGAAACTGGGTTCACTTTCAGATGACTGAAGTTGCCATCTGCTGAAAACACAGTTATGCAAGCAGGCCTGCCAGAGCTGATGATGACTCAAAGTTCTGTTACTGAATTATGCCTTTTTATTGCTCTGTTTGCCATTCTTTAACTGCTTTATGTTGCATTAGTATTATAGTAGATGCACTAATCTGTTGAGAGGTTTTATTGTTTCAGTTGTTATACGTACAAGTGCTATAAATCTTATAAATGAAAGAGAAATTCTGTTTGTTTGTCTCCAGAGATCTCTGCAATCATAAGAGCTGGAAACAAGAAAAAATTGCATGGATACTACTGATTTTCCAAATTAGATGATGCAAGGGTGGGGTAATATCTCCAACACAACCTATCTTGTCTGTTTGTCCCCAGAGGTCTCCAAACCAGTTAAGAGCAGAGGAAAACCCCATCATTTTGCACTATTACTATTGATTTCCAAACTGAAATAAACACATAAGCTACATCTTGAACAAAGTCCATTGTATTTGTCCAGACAGAGCTCCAGAAGAGTAAAAGGTACGGATCAACTTACTCATGCTTTAGAGCAGGGGTCCCCAACCCCCAGTCGCTGTCATGGTATCGGTCTGTGGCCTTGGCAGGACCGGGATGTGGAGACAGATTTCCCGTCCCCCCGCATGCACGTCCCCCACATGTATGCACGTATGCCCCCCTTGCATGGATGCATGCACACCCTGCCCACGGATGCACAGATGCATGCTTGCCCCCCATGCACACAT